GGTTTTTTTTTTTCCCCCCCCCCCCCCCTCAGTCATTTGCACTTTAAGCAATACTAAGTATTTACAGACCTCTTCGTTGTGTGCTGTCTTTACATGGAGTAAAGATTTTCTTTGAATTGCTTTATGCAATTACCATGTGTATTGTTGCTCACTGGTGAGAAGTAATTTATTGCAGTAAAAAAAGATGTACTGTTGCTGCAAAGACATTTTGGAAAAAAGCATTAGGAGTATATGCTAGAGAATGCATGGTTGCTACGTTTAAAGTGTGCACTGTAGCCTGCCACGTCAGTTAGAGTTCTGCTAGTCTAACTTGGGTTGCACTTGGCCTGTGAAAGCAGTTCTGCTGCAGAGAGGAAGCCCCATTTTAGCTTGAGCTGTAGTTGTTGGGAAAGTTGTTTTGCAGATAAATTGCATCTGATACATAGGTTACATCTGGCTGTCCATGAACTAGTTGATCTGATTCTCTATGTGAAATGTTAATGAAGATGATTAATACAGGAATTAAGATGGGCATGGAGTTGCCCCAAAGCATGGTAACACAGCAGAGTGGAAGGGGGAGAGTAACTGCCTGGAGGAGGGTACTCGCAGAACTCTTTGTGAGTAGGTGTTAAGGCTGATCTTACTTGAAGATGGCTGTAAAAACCAGAAGTGTGTTAGCAAATATGATGATGCATTAGATTCACTGTTATGCAAGATGATAATTAGAGGAAGCTAGTATGAGAAATGATAAAACTAGGTCGAGGAAGGTGTACTGTAGTTCAGTTCTGGTATGGAGGAAGAGGGGAATGTTTGGAAAGGATAGGGAGGGAAGATCTGCTTGTTAGCATATTATAGGGTGATTGTCTTTTCCAGCAACTGTTATATTCATGGTTCAAATGTTACTCCAGTGCATTTTAGGATATATTTCAAATAGGGAAGTGCTGATGTCACTGCATGGGTCACTAGTATGGGTTTGTGTTGCTGTTCTCATCAATCATACATCCTCAGTTAGATATGTTTTTCTGAACAGTGCAAAGAAGAAATACCAGGTTCCAAGAAATTGGGTATTTATACTGTGGAGACTAAAATTGGGTAGGTTTGTGTGGTGGGGTTTTTTGTTTTGTTTTTGGTCTTGAACATGCCAGGGGAGAGGGAATAATATTACAGAACGGGAAAACTGTGCCCTTGTGCTTCATTTAGGTATTAATAAATGGTTCTAAATTGGCCACTAATTAATAGAGAATGAGAAAAAGAGAAATATATCTGACTTCTGAAGCAATGATGAGCTGGAACAGCTTTCCCTACCACCTAATTTTTTTATCTTCATTACTCTTGACCACCTGAAATAATTAAAATTCTGAGGATTGCTTGACCTGAGAGGTATTTTCCATTAATTCCTGTGGTTCCCATAAAGCTGTCTCCATCTTTGCTTACATACAAAAAAAAGTGTAAGAATACTACAGCATTAATTGCAAACATATTCTTCTGTCGGTGCAGCCTCAGATAGGTCTGAGAGACTGGTTAGCTTTAGTGCTGTAAATAACATAGCCTGCAAGTAGCAGGGTGTCACAGACTGTTCTCTCATCCAGTCAAAACTTTTTTTTTCTTTTCTGGTTATGAATATAGGAAAGCTGGAACTTCATTGCATGTAGCTTTAAAATAAGTTGATAACAATATTCTCGTATATATGTTATCAGTGTTGAGTAAAAGTTTGTTATAAATGTAGGGTAGCTGAGAACGCTGAAAGTCTTCTTTGTGGAAACATTTGTTCTATAATAGTTATCTTGACTTCTTTCCATAGTGGCCAGCGGCATGTCAGACTCTTGCACGCAACTTACACTTCACAGTCTATGGAAAGAAAAATGCTTCTACGAAGGTTTCTGATTCGGTATGTTTGTGCTTCTTTATGTCTTAAGTAACAGGTTAAATAATACACATAATGCTTGAGAGATGTGAAACAACCTGGTACTTGGCTTTTAGTGGAGTGTTGTGTTCAAGTACATAGTGAGATTGAGTTGCTGAAATGCATTGCTTTTTTTAATGATAGTTTCCACCCAAGGCAGTACATAACAGATGTAGCATTTGCTGCAAGAGTCTATTAAGAACATGAAACCTTTACTGCTTGTGTCTCCATGAAACTTAAGTTTGACCTACCTTGAAATATTTGTGATCATAACAAACTGATTTATTTTTCCAGATTTCTACACAATATCCAGTAGTGGACCATGAATTCGATGCAGTTGTTGTGGGTGCAGGAGGAGCAGGTCTGCGGGCTGCATTTGGTTTGTCAGAAGCTGGATTTAATACAGCATGTGTTACAAAGCTGTTTCCCACCAGATCTCATACCGTTGCTGCACAGGTGAGAAATGAGGTAGAACAAATGTTTAAAAAAATGCCTGCTGTCAGAAAGTTGATTTGAATATGCACACAAACATCGTGTTTCAAGGCCACACTTCCTTTTATAAATATTGCATATTTAGCTGAAACTACTTTGCAGGGCAATATATGTTTAGATTCTATTCAGTGCTTTTTCACTGCATTCAGTGTAACTTTGCAATTCATTGTGTTACACGAAACAGTACAAGATAAGAGTGAGTGTGAAATTGATAAATTGTGCAGGTTTTTCACAGCCACGTTAAATCTGACTTTACTGTATTTCTTGTACATGGAGGCATAAATGGTGTGTGACTTTTAACAGGAATGAGGAAATCCTACTAAGGCTGTACTTCAGTAATATAATTCCAGGAAAATGGATTTTCATTTTCAGGGAGGGATCAATGCTGCTCTGGGAAACATGGAGGATGATAACTGGAGGTGGCATTTCTACGACACAGTGAAAGGGTCTGATTGGCTGGGTGACCAGGATGCCATACACTACATGACCGAGCAAGCCCCAGCTGCGGTGATAGAGGTCAGACCCACTGGAATTGATGTTGGCTCTAAGTATTTATAACACAGACTAGCTTCCAAAGAGATGTCCTTACTAGGAACATGGTAAAATAACTTGTTGGATTGTTATGCACAAGAGTTTCTGATGTTTGTGTTTGGGTTCAACAGCTGGAAAACTATGGGATGCCTTTCAGCAGAACTGAAGAAGGAAAAATCTATCAGCGTGCATTTGGTGGACAGAGTCTTCAGTTTGGAAAAGGAGGACAGGCTCACAGATGCTGTTGTGTTGCAGACAGGACAGGACACTCGCTCTTACATACTCTGTATGGCAGGGTAAGCAGCTGTGAAGCAAACTTGGTTTGGGTTTTTGTATTTGCAATTGATGATGTTTGTTTTTTTTTCTTCCCCCTGGAGGTTGTGGGGGGGAACCACCCATGTGTAGCTCTTCACATATGAATGAGGAATCTTGGGGAATGATTGAGAACAATTCTGGATTTCCTTCCTTCGGCAAAGTGGAAGGATGTAGCCTAGGTGATGCTTGTTTTTTGTCAGGAGTATGCAGAAATAGAATAAATTGAAAGATCGTAATTATAATGGCTCTCGTGAAGACAATGAATGTTAATTAGTGTACACTGTTAGCTTTGTGGCCTGTAGTAGTTCTTAACTGTTAATACTTTTGCGTCTGTTAACTAGACCCAAAGACAATTTATGTAAACCTTCCCCAAAGAACTTCTTTCAAAAAATCTGACACAGCAGCATTGGGGAACCCTGAAAAAAGGTACAAGGCAGTGTTTGCTTTCACTCATCTTCAAACAGGGAGCAGGGAAAGCAAGAGGTATAAATGCATGGTGGTGTACTGTGCGTTTCTGAGCTTGCTCTATGGCAAGTAAGTGGCTGGTGTTCCAGTGTCTATTCCTATCAATTCTACAAACCATAACTAAAGAAAGGTTTGGTTATTTTAAAATAGTAGCGAGCTACTTGAAACCTGAAATTAAGTAGCTAGTAGCTAATGTTTTTTTATTTACTTAGTAGGTAGCTAATTGCTCTCCTTCAGGTTCACACTATATGTGCTGCTGCAGTATGAATGTTCAGTGCTGCCAAATGTTGGTCTGATCCTTGAGGGCATGAAAGAATGTTTGACTCTATGCCTGCTGCTTTTGCTGGTATACTAGGCTCCCGGAGATGCATTCTGCTTCTCTTCAAGAGGTTAAGTAAAATGTGCTTGTACATGCATCAAGCACTGCAGCTGACTAAAGTGTTGCCAAATGTAGAGGGAAATAACAAGTCTTGCTGACTAGTTATGACTTCTCAGAATTAAGTGGTTTGATAACTACTTGTGTCTCTTTAAGCTAGAATAGATTCATTAGCAAATTTTTATAAAGATTTGTGAGGAAACTGGCTTCCCTGAGAGTTGGTGGGAATGGTTTTTATCCTGATACAGCCTGTATGCATTGACAATTTTGAAGAGAGGTTACTTTGGTTTCTGGATTTTTCTTCAAGTTCCTTTTTTTATTTTCCTCCAGTCTCTAAGATACGATACAAGCTACTTCGTTGAGTATTTTGCCTTGGACCTACTTATGGAAAATGGAGAATGTCGTGGTGTTATTGCCCTTTGCATAGAAGATGGCACTATACATCGTTTTAGAGCAAAGAACACTGTCATTGCCACTGGGTAATGTAATGTTTATGTTGAAGGACAGAAACTTGAGTGTGCTACTAGTTGGAAGTCTGTGTGTTTGTACATGTATTTGAATCCACAGTGTAGAGATGCCGTGTTGGCTTGAAAAATGTAATTTACATGTTCATCTGCTTTCCCCACTTTGATCAAAAGTAATACAACTGAATTCAGTTGTTCCCTCTGAAAGAAGGCAGCTGTTACTTTTGTGAGCAAGTATAAATTTAATATGAGGTCTAACTTTGAATTCTAGAACAATGACTCAAAGGCGAAATGTGCAAGAGCAGTATGTGTGATCCAAATGGTCTGAGATTTTTAAAAAGTGCTGTTTAAAGCAGAGATTGTTGCAATGCTACCAATGTGTATATATCTGTAGGGTTCCGAGTTTCCTGTAGGAAACAACTTTCTTCAAAATTTGGGAGAATCTGTTACATTAAGATACCAAAATTGTAAGTCCGATTGTTGTAGGATGAAATTGTCGGATGAGTGTAACTTAACATTACTTGGTTGAAAAAGTTTGTATACCTTTATTAGAATGCTGTATGCATTAGATAGCAATAAACAGCAAAATTCCCTTATCTGTTTGTGTGACAGATATGTTTATAGAGCATAGCAAAATAATGGAGTTCGGTTGCCTCTATAATTTGGCTTTATTAAAGCTGAGGCTGTTTTTGTACTTGAGTACTTTGAGGTACATAATATGTAGATTGATACCTCTTCTGAGAGTTTGTCCTGAAATTGGGGGTATTTGCAGTGCTCAATAACATTGGAAGCTAACGTATTTGTTTTAGGCACAAGAATTCTCTTTTAATACCTAATTTTGGGCAACTAGGTTTTGAAATCTAGAAATATAAAATCAGGGCAGTGTTGAGGACTTAAACTATTGCTATATGCTATTTTTGATAAAACTGCTAAGTAATAGTTCAAATTGAGTTTAATGCTATTGGGTTGTATTGAGAGAACTTCCTGAAGTAACTTTTTCTGGCAAAAAGGTTTCTGATATTAACCTAACTATCCTGCTTTGGAACTGTTATTCTTTTTCTTGGACCTTCTGTCACCAGCTGTTTTTTAAATACAGTTGAGCATAACAGGACAATACCAATTTTCTTTTCTTTTATTTGAACTTAGTACAGGCAAAACTTGGGCATCTTGCTTATTAACCCTCTGCTCTATTTCTACTATTGTGCAAAGAGCATAGCTGAGTGGTATGTTCTGGTGATACTTTTTTGACTGCTAATTCTGTTAACTTTTGTGTCCTGTAGTGGGTACGGCCGCACTTACTTCAGTTGTACATCTGCTCATACTAGTACGGGTGATGGCACTGCTATGGTCACACGAGCTGGTCTTCCTTGCCAGGACTTAGAATTTGTACAGTTTCACCCTACAGGTACAGAATATGAAATAATACAACATCATTTTTAATGATTTGAACAGATTGGGGTTTTTGTGTTGTTTTAAAATGTGCTCAAATCAGTTTGCACTTTCTGCAGTGCAACTTTTCATTTGTTGCTTGTGACAGGTGTTCAGACTTGTCTGCAACTGCTGTGGAATATAAATCTGAGAGTAAGACACAATGAGAGAGATGTCTCAGCTGTTTTAATTTAAAGGCCAGTGTTAAATATTCTAAGTTGCTGTCTTTACCATACTAAGAGGTTTTATGAATTCCAAGTTGAAACCACTTCACCTCTTAAACTTACATTTCCTCTCGTCCTTAATATTTTGAAGAGTTTGATATTAGATACAGGAGCAACAGGATAGATGCAAACATTAAGGAGTTATATACCAGAATCTTTTGTGGAAGTGGGGTAGTTGAAGTAAAAGTATATATTTAGGACTGCAGTTTTATAGCAGAGGATCAGGATCTAAACTGTGGACAACAGAGGTCACACTAAAAAGTGAAGATCTGCTTTTTTGATTGTAGCTAAACAAATGCTGAGTTTTAACTTGTGATAAGTGGTGATTTTTTAATTGTTCACTTAGTTTTACAATGTTATCCTTGTTATGTCATAGAGATCCAATGTTCATTTGACTTAGCTAAGGTTTTTCTAGTCAAAGAAGCTTCATTACTTGTCTGAGAATTCCATAGCTTTTCACATAATTATCAAGTGCATGAATTGGTTAGCATTTTTGTTTTCTATGATGACCAGTGCTGAAGGCTGACAGGTAGGCCTTCCTTCTCTAAAGGAAAAGAAGACTTATTGAGTAGGCTTTGACATTCCACACGATTGGAAGCTGTCCTGTACTGCCTTAGCACAGGAGAAGGGGGAACAAAGATGAGCAGACTGGCCTTGAGATAATCAACTTCTGGTTTACTTAAAGATCTTGAACAAAGTAATTCCTGAAGGTCTACAAAATCTTTGTAAAAGTCTCCTTACCTATTGCTGGGTGCGGATCTCTTCTAGTTCTGATATTTTAGATACTGTGGGTGTTCCAAATCAACTTGCTCACCTTCCAGGAAGAGTGTTTGAAAGGAATAACAATACTTGTTTCTGAGCAGTCTTGAGTCTTGGGAGACAGTTACTAGTGATAGGATTAAGGTGGAATAAAATCTATCCCTGTGACTTGTTTGCGTTATTTTAAGGCAACCTTGTTTGTTCAGTCCTGGTCATCCTGATTATGAAGCTGTTGAGAGAATATCTCATTTAATGGTTATTTTCTTTCTTGACAGGTATCTATGGGGCTGGCTGCCTTATAACAGAAGGCTGTCGTGGAGAGGGAGGTATTCTAATTAACAGTCAAGGTGAAAGATTCATGGAGAGATACGCACCTGTTGCTAAGGATCTGGCTTCCAGGGATGTAGTATCTCGTTCTATGACCATAGAAATCCGTGAAGGAAGGTTAGTTAAATATTCGAACAAAGCTACAGAATGAATACTTAATCGTACTAGACTATATGTGGTACAATGTGATAAACACCTCATAATTCATGGGAGTGAGCTTTAATAACTGTTAGCTGAACACTGCATGCAGGGAAAAAAATTTGCTTGTTAATTCCTAATGATACTAAAAGGGAACGCAAGATGTTAGGAGTATCCTGTTTGAATTTGGTGCATCTAGAGACAGTTGCTCAAACAAGTTTAATGTATACGCTCTTAACTGCAAAAGTGGAAATAATTTGGTGCTCTGTTCTCTTGATTAATTATCTTCAATTCTTAGATATTTCTGCAGGGATATAGTGGTTTAAAGTCTGAAGTACTGTGAGTTATTCTGAAAAGAAAGCTGGGAGGCGAAAACTACATGTAAATTCTGACAGGTTCAACACTTTTCAAATATAGATTTGAAAATGAATAGATTCATTTTTGTCAGATAACCTTTGAAAAAATTAAAGTTAAAATTTTTCATAAATAAAACAAATTGGATTAGAAATATTACTGGTGTTTGCAGAATTCCTGTTTTGTATTCCAGTGTTGACTTGGGTTTTTTTGTGTTTTTTTTGTGGTAGGGGTTGTGGTCCTGAAAAAGACCATGTGTACTTGCAGTTGCATCACCTACCACCACAGCAGCTAGCAACCCGTCTCCCAGGAATTTCAGAAACAGCTATGATATTTGCTGGAGTCGATGTCACTAAAGAGCCTATTCCTGTTCTGCCTACTGTGCATTATAATATGGGAGGTATTCCTACTAACTACAAAGGACAGGTAAGTAATAGATCACTTTTAGGATTTTTTTTTTTTCCAGCCTGATAAAAGGAAATGCTTTTCCAAATACAAAAGCATTAACAATGTTTTTCATAAATGTAAGGATGCTGAGTAAGATTAGCTTAATAATAATATTATAATAATGATGTCAGAGTACTTAAAACACACAGTCTGGTTTGTTTTTGTCAGTAACTTGAAAGCCATGTTACAGCCCATCTGGAGATGAAGAAATGTCTAAAATGAAGTTACTGTCATGTCTGACAAGAATTCTCTTGTTTATCAAGTTGGTGATAATATATAGTTGAACAGGGATCAAACTAGGGCTCTATATTACAGTCTGTAACTGCAGTTAATGTATATTAATTCTCTGTACCTCATGTAATCTCTACACTAAAGCAGATTGCTTCAACTCATACTAATTAGAAGTCAATGTGATGGTGTCAGGTGAATTTTTCTGTTTCAGTGTGTTGTACTTGTTAATTTCTACTGTAAAATTTTGCCTTAGAAATGTGCGCAGATCAGACTTTCTTTCTGTGCTTTTCTGACTTGCAGAATTGTGATGAAGAGTACGTGGTTCTGTTTCATCAGCATAACTAAAGAAATCTTAGGTTTTACTGCCATCTGTATTTACATAGCATTGCTACTTATGCTTTAGAACTAAGGTATTTATTGGTTTAGAGTAGGAGAAAACTTCAGATTGCTGTGTTTCATCCTTACATGCACATGGCCTTTGCAAATAAGGAGGTTTGTTCTGTTATAAACTGTTTAAGAAATGAGTATTAATTGACTGTCTGAAATGATAGGTGATCACACATGTGAATGGTGAGGATAGAGTGGTACCTGGTTTATATGCTTGTGGGGAAGCAGCCTCTGCATCTGTCCATGGCGCAAATCGACTTGGAGCAAACTCACTTCTGGATTTGGTGGTCTTTGGCCGTGCTTGCGCCCTTACTATTGCAGAGACGTGCAAGCCTGGTAAGTCTCACTTCATTTTAGAGACATTTGCCTTTATGATTTCATTTCTGCCCAACAAAGAGTTGTTGCTACGTAATTAAAATTCAGAATGCTAGACATATACTCTTTCTTTGTTAGAAAAGGCAGAAATCAGTGTTTATGCTTTTTATAGGCATGTTCTTTGTGATGCAAATGCTTGTCACTAACATTTGCTTTGTGAGTTGATCTTCTTAAAACTGGAACTGGGTCAATGCTATTGGCAAAAACAGTTGAGATTTTTTCACAGACTAGCAAAACAGAATATTGAATTATGAAGACTGATTTCTCTACATGCTGCACTGCATCTTCTACATCAAAATGTATTATAGTGGAATTTGCTGCCACCTTGTTGATATATAAGGTGGACTGCATATGCAAATGATAAGAGACAGATACTAAAAATCATACCATCTCATCCCCTGTATGTGGATTATCACTGCTGAATGTTATTTTTAAATAATCTGGTTCAGCAACAGTTAGTGAGCTGAAAAAACCCCCCACCCAACCAAAAAAATACTGTGAGAGGCAGTTATATTGCCAGAGCAGCTGAAGTCCAGAAGTAGTCATCTGTTTTCTCATTGCTTAATGTCCAAATTAATAAGACTGTTTGGTTTTTTTCAGTCTGACTGTGCACAAGGTACACAGAGTAATGGTTCTTGATGGAACCAGCTTGGATCTAGCAATGCCAATTGGCTCTGTCTTTGTGCAAACACTTATTTGGATCAGTCTTTCTGTGACTCCTTTGAGTTTGAAGTTGCAGGAGGGTTTTTATTAGTCTGAATGCAAAGCTACATGAGAGATGAAGTGTGCTGGTAAGATGCTGTGTTTGGTTTGTTACCCAGTAACAGATGGGTTCCAGTATTGAAGGCAAGATGCAGAGCTCATGTAACTGCCAAGCTTATTGACTGGTCCCTGGTCCCTTAATGGGCCCAAGAGAGTGTGGGAGGTCTGGGGGTGAGGAGACAAAGTATTAAGGGAAGGTGGTAAGGAGTCACGAGCATAAGCTTATTCTATAGTCAGCATCAAGTACTGTTTTTAAGGAATTAACAGCAGAATTTAGCCAAACCTATAAATTCCCTACTGTCACAGGAAAGAATGTGATTCATGTATTCCACTGAGAACTCTATTTCTAAGTGTAAGGATACTATTGGTGGGAGTTCAGGAAAATTACAGTTAACCTGTACCTCAGAGGAAGAAAATAGATTCTGTTTTAGTCAAATATGACTTTTAATAGTTGCTAGTCCATGAAACTGACAGAAACCAAAACCAGTCACCTACTAAACTTACTGAAATTTTCTTATTAGGAGAGCCAGTTCCCTCCATTAAACCAAATGCCGGTGAAGAGTCAGTTGCTAATCTTGACAAATTAAGATTTGCTAATGGAACTGTAAGAACTTCAGAAGTGCGACTTAACATGCAGAAGGTAAGCCTGGTGAAGCTCTCAAGTATGAGGTGCGAGAAGCTGCAAGCAACAGGGGGCTTGGTCCCTTTGCGAAGTACACTTCAGGATTTGCTTTGCAGAAGTAAAAAGCAGTGTGAGAAGATTGGCTGTGCGCAGTAAAGGCTGTATCAGTTTTGTTAGTTTCTTCTTCCCTTCGTGGCTATTCCTCTTGCATAGTTTACCCACTGTATAATAGAGCAGGGTTTCCTCTAGGATGAGCAGAAGAATGTTTTTTCTTCAGGCTGCAGATGTGTTTGAAGTCAAAACAGCTCTGTATCAAGCTGTTGGAACTAATGAAGTCATGGGATATTACGCATATGTGGCATATGAAACTGATTTTGTTTTACTGTCTTGCAGACAATGCAAAACCATGCTGCTGTATTTCGTACTGGTTCTGTACTCCAAGAAGGCTGTGAAAAACTTAGCCAAATTTATAGTGATCTGGCTCACCTAAAGACATTTGACAGAGGTAATTTGATAGCAAACAATCCACCTTGGCCAGAGTACTCTCTGGGAAAACTGTTGTGTTTTGTGGTGGTTTTTTTTTCTTTCTGTAAACCTTCTTATGTGTTTCTTGAAACTTTGGCTAAAGACTGACCACTTTGAACCTTTCAAAATATTTTGTAGAGCCCTACTTGCCAAACATGGTAATCAGTAATGTATTAGATCTTACTGGTTGTTTTCTGACTGCATACTCTTTCAAAGAAGCAGAGACTGAAATCAGATTTAACTGTATAAGGTACTAACTGCTGTTCTTTCATAACATGATATGAAGTTGTTCACATACTAAGATGAACTTTGTAAGTGTCATCCGAAAAGACCAGGGAGTTGCAAAAAGATAAAGACTATTCATAGGCCAAACACTTCAGTTTTCACTCTTCAGCTGAGCAGGTAGTGCTGCATACAGATACTGGCATATCTTGCAGTGTATCTTAGGAGAACTTGGTTAATTAAGTACAACTGGTGAGGTACCTTTTTGTCCACTCACATGTATTTCTCTCCAACTACTGCTAGTTGACATGTATCCTAACACTGAAAGTAGAACTGGCTTTCTTGGACAGCTCTCACCAAGCATCAAGATAAGTGTTAAAATAACTTAGAATGTAGGGATCAAAATGAAGATACATTCATGTAAGTGAACTTGGGTCACCTTGGAGATACTTAAATGAAGAAGAACCTTGTATAACTAGCAGGTTGGTTTGTTTCTGAGGGTGGGAAGGAAGGGAAAGCCCTGTTGTCTGGATCTGCTAGGGATCTACTTAAAGAGCTACCACGTAGCCAGATCTTGTGATCCCAAATGAGGTATGGGGACTGAGTTTTAGGTATGGTATAAAGCAGGCAAGAATCCATGGTGTAATTTTGTCTCAGCAGTACACACGCAGCAGGGACACCTGGTAGAACTACTGAATTTTTCTAAGATTCATTATGACTGTTAGGGTGTAGGAATTGTTACTGAGCCTTGCAGGCAATAGCAAGTAATTCAGTACTGCAGAGTACTGTGACTGCAGTAGGTGGAGCATTGGCTAGTTCGATTCCAAGTATCAGCAATAGGACACAAACTGAGGAATAACTTGTTTGTAGAACATCTTCCATAGTATTTTAATATCTTACTAGGTATTGTGTGGAACACTGACTTGGTGGAGACCCTGGAACTGCAAAACCTGATGCTTTGTGCTCTACAAACCATTTATGGTGCTGAAGCTCGCAAAGAATCCCGGGGTGCTCATGCCAGAGAGGACTATAAGGTACAAACATTTTCTGTGACCTGGATGTAGGATTGAATTTTCTTGTTATGTGTCCTCAGATGGATTATTTAAAAGTTGTAATTTCTTCAAAGTACAGTCTTTAGAGTCTTGAGTTAAGACTAGTGTAGTATTTGTTTGGGGTCACATCTGTTCAATTTTATCTGTTCTTATTTGTTACGTAAAAATGACTGATGCATGCAACATTGGGTGACAGTCTTGAGAGAAGAGTTGTTCATCTTGTTGTTCAGATGCGTGCATCTGAATGATTAGAGAGGTCTAAACCAGGACTATAGTAATAATAAGGTCATGAATGCATAAACAGGACTTCAAGCAGAGTAATTGTCCTATGCAGGGAACATTACCTTAAAGCCCTTGTTAAGCCTCAGTATTTAAGATTTGACATAGGTAGTGTTAAGATAAAGCTTGCTGGCTATTAGGAGACACATTGTATTACAGTTGTAATTGGAATGCAACTAATCATGAGGTTGTAAAGTGATTTGCAGATGTAATTTCTGGTCTATACCAACCTAATTTTCTCCTTAGTTAAGGATAGATGAGTTTGACTATTCTAAGCCGCTCCAAGGCCAACAGCGGAAGCCATTTGAAGAGCACTGGAGAAAGCACACGCTTTCATATGTGGACATCCCATCTGGGAAGGTATGTTGAGCCTGATGCTTGAGGGTCTTTCTCACGGTCGATAGATAGCTGCTTTCATACACAGCTCTTGATATCATGATAATACTGCAAATGATTGTCACCATCTGAGGTACCTGGTACAGTTTAGTGTACTTAGAGCAAGTACACTAATGTGGGAGAAGTTACTATTGATCTTTGGGAAATGTCTTTGCAATCTGAGCTGGAATTGTTTTTCCCCTTGCATTGGGCTAGTTCAAAAGCTTTTTTCTTTTCCTCTGATGGTGGCAAACCCCGTTGTTGGTGTTTAGCATAAAGTTTTTGTGGTATTTCAAAGATAGAACTGAAATCTGACCCTATACAAATCTTGAGTGTTTTTGGGTTTTTTTTTGTCCCATACTATGAATCCTCTTTGTTTCCTCTCCCAGTTTCAGCTTCCTTGAACCTAGTTTGAGGACAAGTGAGAACGCTTCGCTTCCTGAATAGCTGCTGAGGATGGAAAGATAGAGTGACATAGTTCTGTCTCCTAACTGACCATTTGGTTCTCTATCTCCCAAGACTTTCCTAGCTTAAAGAACTAGGAACTAGCAATCTTAGCCAAAACTTTACTTTTGTCTGAAAGGCCTTTTTTAAAGTAGTAGTCTTCTGATACCATTTCTGGTCAGGCTTTGCTTCTAAGGAATCAGTCAGTGGTAACTTGGGAGAACTTAAATGTTCTTTGTAGGTTACTAACTTCATTTTCTATGGAAGGAAAATAATGGAGAAATTACCTTAACATCAATGCAGTTGTTCAGTTATCTGTGTTATTTGGTCATTCTTGTTAGCTAGGCTGTCTTGTTTAGATAGAAGATGTTTGTCTTGAAGTTCTTTGTTCTCTTTTACTTTAGGTTACCTTGAAATACAGACCTGTGATTGACAGAACTTTGAATGAAGAAGACTGCTCAACTGTCCCACCTGCTATTCGCTCATACTAGTAACTTACATTTAACTTGCAGTCCCCTCCCAGAGGTGGTTAGTGTATATAGGCATAGCACAAGCAAATCAAAATAGTACTGTCACTCTGAATTAATGGAAAATGCTGACTAAACTTTTCTCCAGCTTGTGTTCTGCTGTGGCTTACTGTACAGTTATGAAAACAGAATGCAGGATGGCTTATGTTCTTTCACCCATCTGTCAAAACTGACAGGGAAAACACAGAATGTGTCTAAATAAAATGATTGGAAGTCTTGTATTAGTTTGAATGTGCTGTTATGTATATAATTACAGTGCTTTTATTTTGAATGTATAATTATTTCCATATTTTAAGAACAAGAAATGCATTGCAATAGTTTTTGATAAGATTGAGATGCTGAGTTTTATGATATGGGGACTTAAAATTGTCATAATTGCTGACTCTAAGTAACATGAAAGAAAAGGAGATGATGCACTAGTAATTACAACTTTATTATTTCTAAAGCTAAAATTGTCATATTGTTTTATTGAAAGAAACAAGATACTTGTACTCCAGTTACTTCTTCCAAAATATACCATGAACAGAATATATTCTTAATAGCTAATCTCTGCTATCTCTGGAACTGCTGAAGCCACTTTAGTGGTGTATCATGTGTGTGTATTTCTTCGACTGTCTTTTCTCTTAGAGGAGCCAAGGGCAGTTTTGCAGAAGACTTACCTAAGTGTTAAAGCTTACCTGGCTTGAACTTAATGTGCTTTAATGGCAAGATGTAACTTCTAAGGCATCAATACAGCAGTTTCTAGCAGCGTTTGTGTGAAAAACTCCCCATTCTTGGAGGACTGAAGTGTAATTCAATGCACTGTTTAATTTTTGACCATTTTTTTGTTTTCTCAACTGCTGACTGTTGGCTGCTGTTGGTGAAACTGGACTGTTGCTGGCTGTGGTTGGAAAAATTGAATGCACCATCTTTCAATCTGGCAGCAGTGTTTCTTTACCTTACACCAGGGAGTGGGGACTGGACTCTGAGAAACGAAGCACTACCCTGGCATGGGCTGGAAGGGAAAAGGGCCCTGACTGTTGTTAAGGGGGGCGGAAGTAAGGTTCCATCCATCTTTATTGTAATCTTGTTAAAGCAGAATAAACTAACGCCATTCTCTCCCTCGTCCACCAGTTGCTGTTCCGGGCCTTCGCCCAGGGGGGCGGCTTTTCCTCACACCGCCTGGGGGCGGGAAGGGCGCGAGGGGCGGGGCTCAGCCCGGCCGCTGCGCATGCGCCGCCGCGCGGTCCCGCCCCC